TGCCATTACTTATTCAAAACTGAAAAATTATAAGAGCTATATTTCTTGTTTCAATTAATAAACAAATCCTTTTTAAAGTTCTTTTATATTTTGGTTTCTTAAAGCAGAAGTATATTCCATTATATAATGCTGGATGAACCCAGGAAATCTCAGGTTCAAGTCTATTGCAAATTCAGGCACATACTTTCACTCTCTGATTCAGTACGCCATTTTACAGAAGTTAATATCTCTTCTCATAAAAATAAGGGAACATTATACAGCACTATGTATGTTAAAAATGACCTAGAAAACAGTGTTGGACAATCTCTTATATCATTTTTTTGCTTACCCATAAGCTCTACTTTCAGGTAAGTTAGAGTGAGCTCTTATTCCTGGAGGAATCACACGCACTTCATTGATGTAAACTACACAAGGAAAGCGAACCACGTCTACATTAGTGCTTTGCTAGAAAAAAATGAACAAAATTCATGAATTTTGAAGTGCAAAGTATCTTTGTTTTGTTTCATGAGCACTCAAAAATCTGTCAAAATATGCATTTCACATAATCCAGACCTTGCCTAAAAGTAACAAGTGGTATAACCATAACCATCCATTCCAGATGTAACATGCTATTTGCAACAGACAATACAATTAAAAACAATACTGCAGAATTCATTTTAATTTGGTTTTGTCCTTTTAACAGTGCCCCATTTTTTATGATAAACATTATAACAAGATGGCAATGAAGCAGCAGCTTCTCTGCTGAATTCCATATGATACTTTATTTGTGGTAAACAGTCAAAATGATCAAACTCAAATTATAATAGTTCCGAACATTATGTGAAGATCTAGCTGTCTAGAAAAGGCTCTAATATTGGGAAAGGTGGCAGGAAAAAGAAGACCAGAATGATCAAGGTGGATGGTCTAAGTGGCAGTGGCAATAAGTGAACTATTGAGAGACTTGAAAGAACTGATAGATCCACATAAATAGTCAGACAGACATATGCTTTGCATACATTCACAGGATTGCAGTTAATAGAAACTGAACGTAACTAGTGAATATCTTTTCTTTACAGGATATGTGACTGGTTTTATCTGATGTTCAACAAAGAAATTCAATTCTGATAATATGTCAGCAAATTCTTTTAACATTAAAGAGATAATTCTTAAAATAAAACAAAAACACTTTAGGAACCTCAACTTTTTATAATTTTAAACATTGAATGCTTTTAAATTCTACACACTCTAAGAACTCTTAATTAAAAGGTGCATAAACAAAAACATCTAAACATTATAAAATCTTTCCCCAAAAACATAGTTTAAGGTTCCTCAGTAAACAATCAATTCTTATGCAATTATATTATTGATATGCTAGTAATGTTGAGAGTATCAATTGGAAAGATGGGGTACTATTTTAACAATAAACTTGTAATAACCAGATTGATCATTTAGTTGGAAGATCTTAGAGGATATTTAGCCTAACCCCCTGCTCAGTACAGAATTCACTTATTATTGCATGTTTGATAGATGACTATCCAACCTCTATTTGTAGACTTTCTTATGCCTGTCCTGAACCTATGTTCTGAACTAGTTTTGACCCACTGGTTCTGCTCCTACCAATAAAGAATAGATCCTCTTTATGTGACACCTTTCTGATATAGACTAAATGATCCCAAATCATTTAACCATTCCTTGTTTGGCTTGCTCTCCAAATCCCTCACAGTCTTTGACATAATTGCTTTTTCCCCATTTCAATATACTTCATGTCCTTTTTAAAACTGAGATCAAAATAAACTAATGAAGTTTTACAAGCTTATAATAAAATGTACTAAAATAATGTAATAAAAAATCAACATTTGCTAGATATGTATATCTTGATGGGCAAAAAGCATATTAAAAACCACAGGGGCTGGCATTCTCCTGATACATTTTTACTACAGTACCCAAAATAATTTAAGCACCTAACATTGGGCAAAAGGATCCTTTTACCTATTGCTTAGCATAAATTTTAAATTAAGTTCTTATATCAAAACTCCAAAGCTGCATACATGCATACGTACATACATACATACATACATACATACATATATATAATCCACACTAATTTCACATAAAGCAGTATACCACTTGCACGTGAATATCTTAGAAATCAAATAGCACCCAAATCCAATGATTGTATGTTGAGAAATGTATATTCAAAGACATTTGATTTATTTTTGCTTACTGTCTATACAGTATTTCATTGAATCCCATGATTTCTTTTATCTTTATCATGAATTTAAGAAAGCTACACGTTTTTAAATGCTGATTAATACTGGATGGTTTTATTGCCGTCATTATTTAACTGAATTAGACATATACCGGCATTTCGCCCTTCAAAGCTTTACTAGGGGAGAGATAGGAACAGGAATTATATCGCTATGAACTACAATCGGGAGGCACACATTTTGATTGAAAGATAAGATTTGGAGGGGGGGGTTGAGCGGCGAGGTTATGCCAAAACAGCAAAAAATGGAAATACCCATCAAATCTATACACGTCCGCATACCTCAACAGTTTGTTTTATTTTTTTTTTTTAAAAACCCACTATCGCTACCGTTACGTGAAGCTGATTTCCTTTGTGGAGCCTGCAGACGGAGCTCTGAAATTAAGAGCCCACTATTTCCCTTCTCATAATGATCATCTTCTCTCAGATCCCAATTCCATCCTATCTGGAAGGCTGGGGGCGGCGAGGGGGAATGGGAAGTGGGAATGGAGAGACCCACGTCGCCTCCGTTACCTCAGTGCTTTGGTGTTTGAAAGTATCCAAAAAAAGCAGCTCCGTTGTTGCATCCGCCGCCATCTTGCGTCGGCGGAAGCGCCGAATCTTCCATGGCGAGCACTTCCGGGGCAAAAAGTGAAGGGGGGCGGTTGGCATTTGATTTGCATAGCTGCCTTTGCCCGTCTCTTTTATCTGTATAAAAAGCAAAACAAACCACCAGTGCCCGGAGGTTAAAAATCAGGAAGGCGAGCATATTGTTTTTGATTATTTTTCTCCATAGACCAACAGCAGCTCTCCCGCTACAACGTCTGGAGATTGACAGCGAACGGATGGGGTCGACTATATTGTTAAAACCGCCGTAAAAGTCTTCTCTTATTATTTAGGAACAGTATGATTTGCCTAGGATTGGTTCCACGTGTGAATCTAGCTTTAAGAATTTTTTTTTTAGTAACCTTGCAACGAGTGGGGATGATTTTTTTTCTTGGTATGTCATTTTATTTCCCTTTTACATTTTAAAACTTCATTTTTTGTAGATCCATTGAAACATCTTTGCCAAGTCATTCTTTTGCATGTCATTTGTTTGAGAATAAGTAGCCCCTATAATAAATTGACTCCTGAGATATCCGGCGCCCGGCTCAGGGTGTCTTCATTCAGGTACAGTATACCTGTAAACTAGTATTGAACTGAGAAAAGCCTTTCTTTAAATCCACCGAAGGAACCGATGGCATCTTTGCGGAGTACCGCATTTTATGAAAAGACACCAGGTTCCACTCTGTATCGGATGAGGTAAGCTGTAGCCCACGACATAGCTATCTTTTTAATAAAAATGTATTTGGAAAAGGTGCTAACTTCTGATTTTTGTCTATCATTAACATAACTGTCATCCTACTTCAGTCCTAAAGTTCGTTGGTGTTGAAAATAAATCTCAGGCACTGGGCTTAGTTGAAGCTGATCTATGAATATCACTGCTCGTCTGTATTCTTCAGGGATTCTGACTGGTGATGTTCCCTGAGCACTTAACAGCCGGTATAACATCCCAAATAGGATATAATATTACAAGCTAGATTCCACGTAAAGTCCGTAAAGTAATTTAGATACCAGGACTTTTAATGCCAGTGGTAACATCTACGCAGTAAATAAGGAAAAATATATCAGCTTGCAAAAGGTGATGATCCGATGGGCTTCTTCATGAGTCGATTTAGGATGACTGGAGACAAGTTTTGACAACTGTATTCTCTGCAGAAATGTGCAGAGCGACTTCTCAGTACAGTACAAGATCTATTCTGATTTATTGTATTTCCTCTTAATCAAGTCTTACCTAAGTTAACATCTCCAAATGTCCTGTAAGGCTCTCCACACACAAAGTTTCTAAACTCTTAGAACTAAATAAAAAGGGAGCAATTTTGTAAGCCAACTCACTTGGAATGCCTCGAGGAGAAAAATGAAGAAAAAATATAATACATAAAAAGGATTTCTGCATTTAGATTTTCCCCTTCCGCTAGGCAGATTTGTGTGGGGTTTATTTTACCAGAAACAGGAAGCTTTATAAACAAACCATAAAAAACAGTTGCCAAACCGAACAGCCATTAAAGTGCTTCTGAATACAGATGGTTCCTAAAAATTTCAAATGGGTACCATACCATGCCATACAGTTCCGCCCTTAAACATAAAATGCAAACTGGAGCTATCCCCTATGCCAGTGTTTCTCAACCTTGGCAACTTGAAGATGTCTGGACTTCAACTCCCAGAATTCCCCAGCCAGCATTCGCTGGCTGGGGAATTCTGGGAGTT